TAAAAATCAAAGCAAACATCCAACATGTAAGTGCCCTTTGTTCAACTGTTAAGGATTTTTTTTAAACATTTCAGACCCAAAACAATAAAACAAAGCTACAAAAATATTTCCTGACCTGAGGCTTGTAAACTTAGCAGCTTAACTAATCAGTCACAAATTTTTAGCAAGGAAAACCAGGTGATTGACTTTCTCTGGCTTGAGAGTTGCCCTTTGACAGGTGACAATGTTGCCACCAGTACTGAAGGCTCTTTCTGAGGGAGCACTTGTTGCTGGAATGCATAAATACTTTCTAGCAAGTTGGCTAACTCTTGGAAAGTTTGCCTCATGGACTTTCCACCATTGCAATGGATCCATATCACTTTCTGCATTTGGTGTGGACAAGTAGCCCTTCAGTTCCCCTTCTATTGTTTCTTTTAGAGATGGGGAAGCTGATGATGTGGCTGCTGTAGATGCACTTACAACAGCTGAGGCTCTCACAAAGCTGGCAAGTGATCTCTTTGCTTTCTTGGGTGGTGTCTGATCTTCATCAGGGCTGTGTGATGTGGAGGTTGAGGTAGGCTGCTGATTTGATGATGCTGAATTCAGCAAATTCTCCAGCTCAGACACAGCTCTGCTTTGTATTCCCTCAATGTTGTTTTTGTCTGTGTACTGCATTTTGAACCTGGGATTGACGAGTGAAGCCATATCCAGCACATCATTGGTGGCGGGGTCCTGATATTTGTCAGTGAGGTATTCCAGAATGGTAGTTAGTCTTCATTGTTTTTGTTAGTTCAGTATCCTCATCATTCAGGCTCAAAATGTTGACTTTCAACAGGTGAAGCACTGGCTTTACATAAGATACACTCACATAGTCTTCACCTGAGAGTGCATCAGTAAAGTCTCTAGAGAAATTGAACTCAGGTGCGATAAACCAGTGTTTTGACAGGGGGGCAAACACTTGTTCACACAGGGATCTATAGTTTTGGATTTTGTTTTCCCTTAATAATAAAAACCTTCATTTAAAAACTGCATGATGTGTTTACTTGTGTTATCTTTGACTAATATATAAATTTGTTTGACGATCTGAAACATTACAGTGTGACAAACATGCAAAAAGATAAGAAATCAGTAAGGGGGCAAACACTTTTTCACACCACTGTATACTGCAAATATTATTGCAAACTAATCTCCTAATTTTACTGTTCATGGTAGATGTTCAATGTAATTTTTAATTACAAAGACTATGTATTTTTAGTTGCACTCACCGATAGCTAGGTGAAGTCTGTGCCCAAAGCATTGCAGACGAGTCCAGCTGTTAAGCTCCAACGCTTTAACCATATTGGCCCCGCTATCTGTCGTCATGCAGGTCATGTTTTCTTCTTTCAGTCCCCAACCTTCAAGC